GCATTGGAAGAGGAATTGCCCAACAAGACGAAAACGTAAACATTTTAGACCATATGCATGGTGTTCTTTATGTCCTGTGAAACTGGGTGTCGCGGCAGTAGTAGATAGGGGGGCGGTCTATGTGAGAATAGGGATAAACGAGCAAGAGGTAGTGTGCCTGATTGATACAGGGGCGGCAGTTTCGTTAATAGATAAAGAGCAGTGTAGAAGTATCAGGCCGAGTGCATTAGTTGTTAACACCATCGGAGGCCACGTGTTAAAAATCCTACAAGTCTCAAATGATATCGTGAAAATCGGCAATTCGGAAATACAGTTTCCCTTTGTGGTTACTACGAACTTGTCGAGACCAATACTAGGAGCAGATTTCTTGAGAGAAGTAGGAGCAATTATTGATACAAGAAGCAAGAAGGTGATTACAAAGTACGGCACACTGACAATACATGAAAGCAGCGAGGTGGCTGAAGTTAGAGTAGCAAAAGAGGATAATGAAAAGAAACAGAACATTAGCAAGGTGCTCACGAAATATACGAAGTTATTCACTGGAGACGGAAAACCGTACGGGTTTTGTAATAAAGTTAAACATGAAATTCCGATGAAGAACGAAGAAGTGACCATCTTCACAACACGAAGGGTCCCCGTACATCTGGAAGCTGAGATAAACCAGCAGGTACAGGAGGTGTTAAAGGCAGGTATAATTGAAGAAGCAGATAGCCTGTACAGCTCGCCGGTACTTTTGGTAAAGAAGCCAAATGGAAAGTATAGATTCTGTGTTGACTTTAGAGAACTGAATAACGTGACAGAACTAAAACCATGTGCAATGCCAACAATAGCGGAGACATTAGATCGTCTACAGAGTGCTACGGTGTTCGCAGTGTTAGATTTACGGTCGGGCTATTGGCAGCTACCAATAAAGGACAGTGATCGCGGCGAAACGGCATTTACCGTACGGGAGAAGCAGTATCATTTTAAACGAATGCCCTTTAGATTGGCGGGTGCACCGTTTACGTTTTGAAGACTAATGACATTGCTGCTCAGAAGCCTGGAGAATGTCGAGGTGTATGGAGATGATTTGGTCGTATATAGTCGTACAGAGGCAGAACATGTGAGGCACGTGGAGGCGGTTCTAAGGCGAATTGATGAGTTCGGTTTACGAATTAACAAAGAAAAGTCTCAGATAGCGAAAAGAAGCGTCACGTTGCTGGGGCATAAAGTGGGCAATGGAGAAATAAAACCACTGCCGGAGAAGATTCTAAAGATGAAGAACATTGCAGTTCCCAACTCAAAAATGAAGTTAAGACAGTTCCTGGGAAGAGCGGCGTTCTACAGCAGCTTCGTGAAGAACTTCAACAATATAGCAGCACCCCTATATAAAATGCTAAGAAATGCGAAGTTTACGTGGACAGAGACCGCTCAACAAACCTTCGACCGAATCAAAGAGCTCTTAGATGACCGCCAAACGACGCTGGGACTGCCGGAACCCGAGAAGCCATTTACAGTGACCACTGATGCGAGCGATCACGGTATAGGTGCCGTCTTGAGGCAGTCTGACAGAGTGGTGGAGTATGCCAGCCGTGTCCTTACGCCGACGGAACAGAAGTATTCCACAGTAGAAAAAGAGTGTTTAGCGATTGTATGGGCGGTAGACAAATGGAGACCGTATCTATTGGGTCGGCGATTTCACATCGAGACGGATCATAAGCCACTACAATGGTTGAAAACAGCAAAAGACCCTCGGGGGAAGTTGGCTCGATGGATGCTACGTCTGCAGGAGTATGATTTTAGCTTCGGGCATGTGCCAAGGGAGGAAAATGTAATGGCAGATTATTTGTCAAGACCGGACACCGAAGCCGAACTTCCAGAGATAGCGTGTGCAGTTAACAGCCTAGAGGGAGACCCACTAAAACTCGTCCGACATCAGAAAGCCGACCCTAACCTTCAAGAGGTAATCAGAGTGATAAAAGAGGGAGAAGATGTTGACAAGAGTGGAACGGACAAAAAATTAATAGTGTTGCTGAGGCAGAAGGATAGACTGAGAGTGAACGGATACGGAGCCTCGACCTGGCGGGATGATGACGAGAATTGGGTAGCGATAATCCCAAAAGATCTGCGCCAGGAGATGATCCGTGAATGTCACCAGATAGCGCACACAGGTATTGCAAGGACAACTGATTTGCTGAGACAAAGTGCGTACTGGCCAGGTATGAGAGACGATATTGCACGATATGTGTTAGCGTGCCACCGATGTCAACTAATGAAAGGGGATCGATGCATACGACCGCCATTGCAGTCAATCCCAATAACAGCAGTTGGTGATTTGTGGTCAGTGGATGTTATGGGACCGTTCCAGCAGACGACAATTGGTAACCAGTACCTGCTGGTGATGACTGAGCATGTCACACGATGGGTAAATGCCGTGCCGATGGCGGACCAACGTGCAAGTACGGTGACTGAAGCGGTAATGTGGCACATTGTGGCGGACCATGGAATACCAAAGATAATATTAACCGATCAAGGTCCCTGTTTTGAGAGTGATGAGTTCAAGTCCCGTCTAAAAAACAGTTAGGTATCAAGAGAGTACGAACAATGCCGTATCATCCACAGACGAATGGGTTAACGGAAAAGAATAACCGAACGCTAACGGAATGGCTAGCATCTAAAGGGGTAACTGGTAGAAAGAATTACCATTAATCTTGCTGGAACATCGTGCCTCGGCACAAGGGACAACCAGGAAGTCACAGTTCCAGCTGATGTATGGCAGGCGGCCGAGACTACCAACGCATGATAAAACCTGGTCACAACAAC